TTAGCCCTCGTTTGAAGATTCATGCCTAGAGCGAAGTGGGCACAGGTCTGCTTGGCCAGACTTCCGATGGAAAACACTGATCCCCACTTAGACGTGCTAGGAGTGCCCCGGCCTGAAGGGGCCACGAGCTGGGCTTCAGAGGCCGGGATCCCACGCGGAGCCCAGGGCACCGCGCAGTGCGGCGGGGCGCTGAGCCTTCGGGTCACCGCCGAGCCGGAGCAGGAGGGCCGGGTGGCCGGCGGGACCGGGCCTTCCCGGCCGGGGTCCGAGAGGGAGCGGGGAGACGCGCGCGGGTCGGGGGGGGGGGGTCGCGGGCCGCGTGAGCCGGGCCGGGCCGGCCGGGCCGGGCGGCGGGGACGTCCGGCCTCCCGGAGCCGCGCCGGGACGGTGAGCCCACGGCGGCGGCGGCAGGTGGTGACCTACCCGGGTGCCATTTCTGGGCCAGCTTCCGATAGGCCTTCTTGAGCTCCTCCTCGCTGGCGTCGCGCCGCATCCCCAGCGCCTCTTAGTGACACTTCATTGCCGGGCTCGGCGAGAAACTGAGGTCGGGGCCCGGGGCGGGGCCTGGACCTAGACCCTGGACTGGGCAGCGGTGGTGCTGCCTGTCTTCTCCTCCCGTGGTAGCCCGGTGCTCGCACCAGTCAGCCAGCTAGTGCTGCGGCGGGGTGGCGGAGTAGCATGTTCAATGTTGGTTCGTGGCGTCGGTCACGCGGGTCTGCGGCAAGGTTGGTGCGCTAAAGGTGACGGGCGCCGAACGGCCGTAGCTCCGCATGGGCGGGGGCTGGGCTCCCGGAAGAGCCGTTCGGGTGGGAGGCGGGACCGCGCGGCAGGGAGGTGGAGTCCAGGCAGGGGCGGGGTCTCGGCGAGGAGGCGTGGCCCGGCGGAGAGGCGGGGTCACGGCGGCCTTCATTGTGAGGAGCACAGAAGGGCCCAGCGTGTGTGTCTACACACACGTAGGGGCTGGAGTGGAGATAGGAAACAACTGGGAACATAACTGGTTGGGGGCTCTAATTATGTCTCAGTCACGCCCATTTTTACGGACGAGGCAACTCAAGTCTCCAAATTGTCAAGGGGTCGGTTAGCCTAAGGCAGGATTTTTGACAATTCTGGCAGCTGCTACTTAGTAAAATCTCTGATGCTGCTCACCTTGACCAACGTGCACGAGAAATGTCAGCGCCATGATTTCATGAACAATTTCAGCAAGCGGTATCAACACATTCTACAGTAGCATACCTAAAACTACAGTGTGGACAGAATTGTGCTGCTCTACTCATCTGTTACTCTTTAATTCCAACTTTCTGTACTCTAATTATCTTCATGAGATTAGGTTGAGAAAAGGATTGGGAAAATACCCATGGTTTTGATCTGACTAGCTATATTCTACTGCAAATACGCCAATTCACTTCACTGTAAGGTGGGATTTTTACATGCACCAGTTAGACATGGGTAGTATTTTTTCAGCTATGTATGACTAAGGAGATTACCCAATCCTTAAAAAGTAATTTAAGGGCTGGGAAGGTGGCTCAGTGGTAGAGCGCTTGCCTTGCATGCTCGAGGCCCTGGGTTCGACTCCTCAGCACCACATAAGCAAAAAGGAAAAAGTCGGAAGTGGCGCTGTGGCTCAAGTGGTAGAGCGCTAGCCTTGAACCGAAGAGCTGAGGGACAGCGCCCAGGCCCAGAGTTCAGGCCCCACGACCGGACCCAAAAAAAAAAAAAGTAATTTAATATCCTGCCCCCAGCACAATCAAAACCAACTATATGCCTCTGTGGATTTTTCCACATACTAAGGTCCAAAGAACTTCTTTGAAATTCTTTGCCAGTGCAAAATGATTTTACAATGGTTTCAGTTGGTAAGTTGGCAATGGAGATGGAGTTTTGAGTTTGGGAGAAACCTGAGACCTTTCCCCTCCTGAGAAAAGAACTGGAAGCAGTTTTTTCTCAACCACATGTGATTTTACTTCCAAATACAAACTCAGTGCCTTTTCCTAAGCAGAATCTGTATCTATAATACTGTATTGAAATTTAAAGACAATTACACAAGAGGTAAATGTCAGCCTAAAGGAACATCTTTTAGTTTTTCGTTTTAAGACAGGGTTTTACTGTAACTCAAGCTGGTCCCAGCCTTCACAGTACTGGCTTGTGTTACTATGTTCAGAGTAAAGAAACACCTTTATTAAACACAGACTTCCAAATAGGGGCTTCAGAGATGACTCATTCGAGAATTCCCACTCATAAAATATCCTTTAGTGACTGTGAAAGAGAAGAGACTTGGGACACAAAAAAACATCTCTAGATGGAAATTTGTTTTGTATGTCTGTGTGTGCCCATCTGGAAGCTTGAAACCAGGACCTAGTGCTTTCCCTAAGCTCTTACACTCATATAGTGCTCTACCACTTGAGCCATAGCTCATTTCTGGCTTTTTGGTGGTTATTTGGAGGCAAGAGTCTCAGACTTTACTGCCCTGGCTGGCTCTTGAACTGCAATTCTTACATTTCAGCCAAGCCTCTATATGGCAACTGGTAAATTCAAAATTGTCAAACTGATGGGCTGGGAAGGTGGCTCAGCGGTAAAGCACTTGCCTTGCATGCATGAGGCCCTGGGTTCAATTCCTCAGCACCACATAAGCAGAAAAAGCCAGGATTGGCGCTGTGGCTCAAGTGGTAGAGCGCTAGCCTTGAGCTGAAGAGCTGAGGGACAGCGCCCAGTCCCAGAGTTCAGGCCCCATGACCAGCAAAAAAAAAAAAAAAATTGTCAAACTGAAAATCATATCGAAACTCCAGAACACACTGAGTATTCTTTGTGTCATTACTTCAAAACTGAACTTTTTGATCCAATTTGTTTTTAACCTACAATTAACTTCTAACATGGTGTTTAAAAACAAATCCTGTATAGGCTCATGTTCTTCCAAACCTGTATTCAACTACCTGAACATCCAAACATTTTTTTTTGCATTTAATTAGATTTGATCTTAATTAGGCGTACTACTTTTAGCTATACAGGTATTTCAGTTGAACCTGACAAAATTAGTTGCATAACTTTTAGGAGTACTTCAAAAGAAGTAGCATAATTAAACATACAGCTAGATAAAGTCTAACTAAAGTCTTCCATTGACTGATACTTCTCTAAATATTTTAAAAACAATAAAATTTAAATAAACAATATTTTAGAATCCCATTACAGTATGAAATATCTTTTATAAAAAAATCAGAAAAACAGGATTACTGTAGCCATAAAAAGCTAATTCTGAACCAAAGCACTAAATTTATTTTTTGCAATTACTTGTATGTCACCCATTGGCAAAAGTATAGGACAACCAAAACTCTAATCTCTGGTAAGGTCCAATTCTGTACCTTACAAGCAATCAAAAAACCTTAATGATTAAAACTCTTAACCTGAGCTTCACTTCTAAAAAACCACAAATATTGTGAAATAAATTTATATATAGAAATACAACATAAGCACTTATGTATGTTAGGCAAGAACAAAAAAAAACCCTCAATTATCAAAAGTATGATACTTACTATTTATCTGTGGTATGAAGCACAATGTTATGTAGTTTAGTAAACATGCTACTGATAAAACAGGAAAATAATGTGATGTCAAAGAAGTGTCATAAGGATTCAAATGTTCTTTCTTTCTTGCGATTGTTTCTAACATATTTATAAGATGATTTCTTTGTTGCTCTGTATGCCCCCCCCCCCGCTTGGTATAACCCCTGTTTTCACTGTATTTGATGTTAGTATAATTTGGGGAGGGGAAGGCAAAAAACAAATTGTTTAAATAGGGATACAGGTGGACCCATTCCAACAATGAGATGTACAAGACATTATGTCGAAAAATGAAGTTTACAACTTTGGGGGGGGGGATTGGGAGGGATGGGAAGGAGAAACAAAGGAGGAGGCAACAATGCTTGATAAGAAATGTACTCATTACCTTGCCCATGTAATTGTAACCCCTCTGTACGGTATTTTCACACTCACAAAAAAAATCTTTCCCATGTAATTGTAACTCCTCTGTATGGTATTTTCATTAAAAAAAAAGTTTCAGACAGGGAGATGCAGTGGCCTACAGGAGGCAGAGGTAGCTTGGTCCAGACAAGCCTCCACCAAAAATCGCCAGACCCTATCTAAAAATATATCTAAGGCTGAAGTGCTAGAGTGCTTCCTTTGCAAGCTAGAAACTCTGAGTTCATAACCCAAACATTGCCATATGAAAAAGAACATATGCAGAACCTACCTGTCAGCTCTTAAAACTCAATATGCTGCAGTGCTTAAAATAAGCAGCAATCTCTCTCATAAGGCAAAATTCAAATGCACTGTATTCTTTTGAACCTTCTTAACAACTATCATGTTTTTCCATTTACTATTAGTTTTTAAAAGCAATCTATGTTCATAATTTACAAAATGCTTTCAACACTGACATTAACTCATTTGATTCCCAAAAACCTAAGAATTCTATATACTCTCTTTTGAAATGAAGAAAAGATCAGAGGTTGGCTCTTCCAAGGCATTAACTGGCTACTCCAGTAGTCAAATCTCAGAAAGATGTTTCCTTTCTACCAGTCTATACTTTTTTTTTTTTGGGCGGGGGGGAAGGTCCGGTCGTGGGGCCTGAACTCTGGGCCTGGGCACTGTCCTTCAGCTCTTCAGCTCAAGGCTAGCGCTCTACCACGTGAGCCACAGCGCCACTTCCGGCTTTTTTCTTTTTGCTTATGTGGTGCTGAGAATCGAACCCAGAGCCTCTTGTAAGCAAGGCAAGCGCTCTACCACTGAGCCACCTTCCCAGCCCTAGTCTATTCTTAAATAGATATATCTAGATATATCTATCTAGATATATACCAACAAATAACATTTTCAAAGTGTCTTGTGCCCTTGTAAAGAATAATCTAATAAATCTGAATTTCAGCTTTACTACATCAAAAATTCTAAGAGAGCATCCTAGACCTTAAGAATATTAAACTTTAGTAATTCCACATAAGCTCTAAAAAGAAAATCAGACAATAACTAATGAATTCTGGATATATTTTATTTAGAAAAAGATAAAATCACTGAATTTAAGATTTAAAGTTTTCTTTTAAATGGCATACTAATTAGATTTAAAGCGGTCTTGGATAATAAAAGTATTTACACACAGAATACAAATATACAATAACTGAAAAAACAAACTACTTATCCACTGATTCATTTTGCATTCCCTCTATTCATTTTCTGTTGAATTTTCCTCTGTCTTTTGTAAACCCTCTTCTTTCTTGCTTTCAAATCTACTTTGGGCTCTGGTTTTACCCACTGTATTTCTATTGGTTTTTCCTCAGCTGGTACAGCAAAAACATCTTCAGTAGGATCATGTGGAAGAACAGTCTTTGGCTCTTTCTTTTTCAGTTTCTGAACATCCTTCACTTGTTGTTTCTCTTTGTATTTTGCCGCTGTGATGGATCTTATGATACGCCGATGCTAGGAATAACAAAGATTGGAGGCTTTTAGAATAAGAAACAATTCATTTATGAATTCTTTCCTTTTTCCATGAAAAATAATAATAATTTGTAAGTATACATGTGCCAAAAAACACAGGTGATAGAACAGTAATTATTTCACACAGTTATTTTGGCCTAAAAGTATTAGTACACTGAAGATTATTAAACAATAAATGCTACTTACCAAATTTGGTGACTGGTAGTGAGGATTTTCATATAGAGTTGGTCCTCCAAAACTTCCCTGGAAAATCTTTATAAGATTTAAGACAAAACGAGGTCCTATTTCTACAAGAGCAGCATCTTCTTCTATGATCTTTAATAAAAAGGAAACATTCATTTTTGTTTGAATATACTATTTCTAAAAGAAACTGGTCATAACCTAATTACACATGTGCTGAAAGAATGGAGCACATAATAAAAGCAGAAACACAGTAAAAAGCTCAGCAAGTGCCAAATCAATATTTTTCTGAAATCTATTACTAGTTACAGAAAGTTGTACTAGAAAAACAGGTTTTCAGTATGCTTTTTTAAACTGAATTTGGTTCTTATTTTGCTTCTCATGAATATTATTATTTTGGTTTAGTTATGTTTGACTTCTCTGGTTAAGAAGTGAATGAATTTGTCACAATTTAAGGTATGTAGCACAAAACATGCAGGTAAGAGTCAAATGTTGTATGAGATTTTTGTTCTTGCTATTCTCTCCCATTTTTCTGTCTTTATACAGATTCATTCTGCCAAATTCTTACTCTAGATTTCTAGAATCTCCTCTTCTGAGTGAGTCATAGCAAGACTCATGTCATAGCTCCTACTGAATTCCTTCTATAGCAATTACTTTTATTCCCCCCACCCCCCAGTACAGGGAATTGACCAAATCTAGGGCTCTTGAATGGTAGGTAGGCAACTGCTCTACATGAGCCACAGAACAACATCAAGTCCATCCCCTTTGTTTTGTATTTTGCTTTTGAGACAGGATCTCATCCTTACAATCTGGTCTTAAGCTTCTCCTAGTGCGATTATGTTTACTAAGTCTTCAACTCAGAAAAATCCCCTAGTATGGATTCTAGCTTTTTGGAAGAAAAATTACTTTAGTACATCCTTTATAAAACTTAACATAAATCTAAAACGTAAGTATCTAACAGATTTTCTACTTCCTTTTTATAAAATAAATACAGTACAGTGCCTTACTAGGAAATTTATGCTCCATAGCAATCAACAGGCATGGATGGCGGAATTAGGCAGAGCCACTAGCAAATCTCTGGAGGGAAAATAAAGCTACTTAAAATATAAGGAGCTACTATTCACATTCTCCTCTGTCTATAAAGCCTGTATGTTCTAATTCAAATAAAAGTAAAGTTAAAATTTAAAGCAAAGCTAACCTGAAAGTTCCGAAACCATATCCTATTATCCAAAATGGTGAAAGTAAAAACATGGTCCACAAATGGTTGGCTTTTGGGATGATACCGAGGTGTACTAAATATCTGTTTAAGAAAAAAAAGTGTATGTTAGTTTCTTATTAATTTACACTACTAAAAAAAATATTTTCTGGGATAGAATATTTACCTGAATTAAGAGTTCTTTCAACAATGCATAATGTGGCAATTCATCAAAGGCCTATAAAAATAAAATGAACATACTACTTGAAATCAGTACATGCTTTATTTAAAAAAGTACTTTTTATTTCAGGTTAAAGTAAATTTGTATGTACAATTATATTTACTTAAAACAACCATTCAGAGAAAACCTGAACACAGTGAGAAACTTACAGGGTCAAAGGATAAAAGGGGCCTAGAACCTTTCAAGCAGTTGCCAGTCATCTTTAGTTCTGCTAGGGTATGAACTAGAAAAATAACAAAGACAAAGAGTGAAAAGTGTGGCACAATCTATTTTATTAGATATTTACATTTTTTTCACACACAAAGAAAAACTGGTGAGTCAACTTACTATTCTGAACAAGGAATTTGGCAGATGGCCCCTGAGGTGAATTTGAAAGCCTGAAACAGACAAAGGAAGCCTTTTCAAATACAAGAATTTATACTATAGTAAGTATTTACCACTTATTTACAGAGGGGGGGAAAGACCAAAACGGGCTTCAATATTCATGTTTAATTTCTTTAAAGGCTTCATATTTTGTAAAACCAAATGTTTCATTCACCAACCCGTTTTACATAAGAATGGAGCTTATTACACACTATCTACAAATAAACCCACTTAAACAAGTTCAAACTTTAGAAATATCTTACCACATATAGAGATCCTGCTTTTTCTTAGCTTCAAAAAAGATACACTTATTGCAGTTTTTCATTTCACATACCTAAATCAAGTACAGAAAAATTTAGGTAATAAAAATGAGAACTAAAGTAATTCAATGCAATTAACAACTGCATTTCCCAAAAATGAATTAAGACCACAGAACTGCATACATATCTAAAACAGATTTGTATTTATTCAACACACACAAAAAAACAAAAACCTTTTAAAAAGTCCTCTCAGGCAGATGCTCTACAGATTCCTTTTTGGCCTGATATTTTAAAGTACCTGGTCTCACTTCTGATTATTAGGACATGTTTGGACCATAATCCATGTACAAACTAACTGAAAATAGATGTGATAGGAATAAGGCATGTCATAATTAAAGTTGCTAATCTTACAAAAATACAGCCTGTATAAAACCAAAGATGTTATTAATTTTAAGTTTCATAAAATCTAGTTTTTCTTACTGACTTACACTATCATTTCTGGTGTTCTGAGTGAATAAAAACATCTCAGAATTCAGAAGTTTAGGCCGTTTTGGGCATCTGTACTTGTCATTTTCTCTACCTAGAAAGTTTTTTTGTTTTTGTTTTTGTCAGCTGTGGGGCTTAAACTCTGGGCCTGGGCACTGTCCCTGAGCTCTTCAGCTTAAGGAGATCGCTCTACCACTTGAGACACAGTGCCACTTCCCTGGAAAAGTTCTTTCACTGTATTTCTAAGTCTCTACTTAAATACTGAGGCATCCTTTCCAGAAAGGATTCTCAATCCAGCTCAGTTATGGAAAACCTATACTCTGCTTCATTTCTCATCTTTACATGAAATTATAAACGTTGATTATGGACCATTTCTCTCATTAGACTGTAAGCTTGACAACAACAGGGACATTGTTCTAGTGAACACTGTTTCCATAGCACCTAGAATAATGCTGGCACAAATGTGTGCCAAATGAATGAATAAAAGAAATGTGTCAACAGAAAAAATTATTTTTAAACACTATTTAGAAAAAGTGTTTAAAATATTAGTATCTTCAACATTAAAGTTGTAATCTAGTATTAGATTTCTGTATCTTAAAAGTAGATTACACTGGCATCAATTTCAATCTTGGCAAAATGTTTTATATCATGTTTTCTATAAATGTCTGATGGTTTAAAATTTTTATTTTATATATAGTGGTTTTACAAGTTCCTACTAGTAGTTTTATATAATACTAGATATTATGGAAGAAAAACCCTGATAGGTTTGCAAAGAGTTGATAACATTTATGTATCTTTTAATAAAATAATTTTAGTCATTAAATAACATTTTTAGTGTTCCTAAAATATTCACAGTAATTTCTAAAATTACCTCGTTAATCACAAATAATTTATCTTTACGATCCATTTTAGTATCTATAAAAAGAAAAAAAAAAAGGTAAGTAATCCAAATCACACACACTACTAAAATAGATTTAAGTGTTTCTACAATGTTCAGTCCAGATTTCATGGTTTGTTTTCATAATTAAAACTGGAAATATTCAATCTTTACATTCAAAGTATAAGGCAAATGGTTATTAAAAATAGTCTTCAAGAACTATAGGCTAAGCAGCACTTCTCAGACTTCAGGCAATTGTCTCTGAGGTTTGAATACAGAGCCCCTCCATATGAAAATCTTAAGTCCTTTATATAAAATACTGTTCTTTTTGCCACATAATCTAGGTACATTGTCTTGCATACTTTAAAACATCTCTAAATTTCTTAAAATACCTACTACTGTGCCAATCCTGGGGGCTTGAACTCAAGGCCTGAGCACTGTTCAAGGGTAGCACTCTGGCTTTTGTTTTCCCTTTTTGGTAGTTAGCGATAAAAGTTTCATGGACTTTCCTTCCAGGGCTGGCTTTAAAACACCCAGCTTTTCTAGTATCTTTTTATGTACTGTTAGTTACATCTGCAGATGCAAAACTCATGTACAAAGAAGGCTCTATTCCATGAACTTCTTCCAAAAATGAGAAATTTCTTGCAAATTAGAGAATATGCTTAAAGATTCCAGCTTTAGAAAACATTCACTTGAGAAGCTGAAATCTTGCTGATGTGGTGAAATTACCTTTACACCCAGCATTCAGGATTCTAAGGCAAGAGACACAGCTTGTGGATAGCCTAGGCTATAGAGTGAGATCTTATCTCTAACAAATAAAAAATAAAATTTTATTTGATTAAAATATCTTAACAGATGCAAAAAAAAATAAGTTTCAGGCAGCCAGGTATGTGACTCAGCTGTAATCTTAACTACTTGGGAGGTAGCAATCAGGGGATCACAGTTGGAACCATCCTGCTTTGTTAAAATTAAGTTTGGGAGAATCCATCTTGACCAATGGCTAGTCATACACCTATCATACCAGGAACATACCTACCATACACCTGTCATCCCAGTGACATAGGAAAGTACCAATAGAAGAATCTTAGTATAGGCCAACCTTATTGAGAAAATAAGAACCCCAAAAGGGGCTAGTGGAATGGATTGAGACCTTGAGTTCAAACGTTAGCACCCCACACACAAAATTTTTTTTGGATTATCATAAAAAAGAAAATACATTAAGACTTCTCCTAATAGTTCCAGGGATCTAAAGACATCACAAGAAATGCCCGTGTGAAAAGCACTAACATAAAGCACCAAGTTATTACCTAGGATAAAACCTCAAAACATCTGCTAAACCAGGCACAAAACAGGCAGTGTCATGGTCCAATCTCATCTTTAGGATAGAACCTTACTAGAAAATAACTTGGCATTCAGAATTTGGCTGGTACTAACTTGAAGTACCTTAAACCCTATCCCTTGTCAGTTTTTAAGAGCCAAGAAAATAATACATGGTAGTGTGAATTGTTTAGAAGGACAAACTATCCTTTTTTGTGTCACAACTTCATTAAGTATTGAAATGAAGACATTCCTAGACCTTTAGAAAAGGTTTAAATGTTACTTAGGTATTTTAAAAGAAATGTCTAATGAATTCTGTACAGAAATTATAAATATTAATTTAGAAGAATATGGTACTTCAAAGGATAGACTTCCACAGTATTGTGGTTCTTTGTCTCACAGGTTAATAAATGAAAAATGAACACATAAGCAAGTATAATTATGTAAATAAGTCTGGATAAACACTAATTTTAAAATAAAAAAACATAAAAGTACCTGCTTTAGAATGAGGCATCAACTTTCTCAGGTCCTGCATTAAATGTCTTGTTCTAAAGTTTATTCCTCTGGAAGAAAAGATGAGAATCCGTTCCTTATTTTTCCACTTGCCCTAAATAAAACATTAAATGATTGTTAATTCTCATACCGAACCTATCTCATTTTTTTTCCTGCCAGTAGTGGATCTTGAACTTAGGGCCTTAGCCCTGTCCCTGAGCTTCTTTGTACTCAAGGCTAGTGCTCTACCACCAAGCCACAGTGCCACTTCCGGTTTTCAAGTAGTTAATTGGAAGTAAATGTCTCAAGGGGGACTTTTCTGCCCAGGCTCGCTTCAAACCATGATCTTCAGATCTCAGCCTCCTGAGTAGCTAAGGCTACAGGTAGGAGACACCAGCGCCTGGCTTCTCGTTTGTTTTTTTAAAGATGGTTTTAAAAGCTTCCAGAGCCTGGGGATGATAGCATATGCTTGTAACCCCAGCCTAAGGAAGATAAGGTAGGAGACTTACTTAACACAGAAATTTGAGGCAATAGAGTAAAACCCTTTTTCACAACAAAACCAACCAATACCAAAAACAGTAGCTTTCTAATTCCTCCTTCCTATCCTTAGGCTTCTTTTTTTAGCCTTTTTACATTTGTTTTGCCCATCATAGTGGTCTCATACTCCCACAGATTCCATTACCAACTCTACATAACGTGAAGATGTCTTCTAGTTCTAATAATCCAATTACTTGAGTAAAGACTCAAACTTTATCTAATACTGCACATTACCTTACACTTAAAATAGACTCAAACTGTATCTGATACTGCATATTACCTTACACTTAAAATCTGGTATTTCCTTTGGATTTTCTCTTCCTTTCTTTTTTTGGTTGGTCCTGGGGCTTGAATTCTGGGCCTGGGTGCTGTCCTTTAGCTCTTCAGCTCAAGGCAAGTGCTCTACCACGTGAGCTACACTGCCACTTCTGGCTTTTTCTGCTTACGTGGTGTTAAGGGATGGAACCCAGGACCTCATGCATGCAAGGCAAGCACTCTACCACTCAACCACCCACCTTCCCAGCCCCATAGATTTCCTTTCTTTTTTGATGCTGTCACCATCATTGCAGTCCTCCAGGCTTTAACTTCACCTGCCCTTATTCCTGAATCCTAACCACTACTAAATGCAATTAAATTTCTCTTTGCAGGCTGGGAAGGTGGCTCAGCACTAGCCTGAAGAGCTGAGGGACAGCGCCCAGGCCGAGTTCAGGCCCACGACCGGACCCCCCCCCAGAAAAAATTACATTTCTCTTTGCAACAATTCTTTTCTTAATCACACACAGATCCTTACAACCATGTTATCAACTAGACTTCTCTAACATGAGTTCATCTAAAGAATTAAAGATTTTTTGACAGTACTGGGGTTTTAACTCATTGAGCAAGCAGTCTACCATGTGACTCACACCTACAACCCTTTCTTCTTCACTCTTAGTCTTGTGCTTTTTGCCTGGACAGACTTGGACAGAGATCCTCATTCATCTTTTAAGGGCAGTATTCCAATTACATCCTATCTCCCAGGATTTTCTAAGTTCAAAATGACTTGGCTTAAGTGTTGAATTTGAAAACACATTTTTCTCCTTTAACATGTCTACTCCCCAACATTAACCAAATTGTGATTGGCTCTGTTTATAAGTTTTCAGCATTTCCCTACTTCAACACCTTTGGCCAGTTCTTTTTTATTTTCCTGTCAACTCTGAACAAAAATTGTACTCTTACTGTAAAACCCAACTCCATTAATAGCTAAAATCCATGATTTGACTGTGCTATCCTAGAATAATAGTATCTTTAGCATTTCATAGAACAGATTACACAGTACATCATCTTTTTTTCAGCTCCTGAAGAGACTACTATCTGCTAACAATATATGAAGTCCAGTTTTTTCACAATTAAGTATTTAGCTTGTAGATGAGAAAAGAGGATGCCACTTTTAATAGCAAGAATACAATTTATGCTCTTCTTTCATTCTTCAGAGCTTACTCTTTTCCCTGAGCCTACCTTGCCCTTGAACCACCCAAGGTCACTTACTTTTCGCCTAGTAGGTGCTTCAGTACCTACTGGAGCCTAAGTTCAGAGAGCACAAATTTATAAATCAAACGCAGTATTTGTTTCCACAGTATTCCAACTCAGTTAAGGAGCTTTCGGATGAAAGTTAGCTCCACCAACAACTTCTCACTTTCTTTTGAATAAAACCCATCAATTGCTTCCTTCTCAACTCCTATTTTTCAGAAAGAAGCCACATGATAGTCATGTCTGCCAATACCCAGGCCAAAAGCAGCCTGCCTTGGGGACAGCACGTGGTGTATTAAAGATTGGTTAAAATACTTAACGCTCATGCCATCTAGTCTAACATTTTCATTTTCCCTTGAGTTAAAGACCTAATCAAACAAGTCAGTCAAAGTGCCAAGGACAGTGACTTTTTTATGACGTTTGGATATCATGATCTCTGACTGGCTGGCTTACCATGGCAGGATATGAAAGAATTACTCTAAGACATATACTTACTTGCACAAAAAACCAAAAAGCATTATGTTGGAGAGGGGAGGAGAGCAAGTGGAAGTCAATTCCCTGTGAGCTGCCACATCTCACCCTCAAAATGCGGCCACGTGGACCAAGATTAGACCCAACACTGGCCCGGGGTCGCCAGAAGAACTCGAGACCGCGCTCGGCTGCCACACTGGACACTCGGAAATAACAGAACTGCGGTCGGGTAAGAAGGCCCAAGGAAGCGCCACCGCGCCGCCGCCACACGTACCCGTCGTTCAGCTCTCCTACCTTGCAAACGGGGCCTGGGATACAATCTCTATCTTCTTCCTCCACTTCTTCTGCCTTGCCTGGCTGCGCAGCTGGCTTCCCGGCATCTTTTCCATCTCTTTTTGGCTTCTTCGCTTTGACCAGCAAGTCTCCACGCCGCTTTCTCTTGGTTGCCGCCATCTTACCTCGTCGTCTACGCTCTAGGACGTACTTCCGGTTTCACCGCCTACTCCTTTTTCCGGTTTCTAAAGCAGGGTCGTCTGGGCTCTGCGGTCCTCCAACTCTATGGTCTCGTGAATGCGCATGCGTGGCTCGCTAACCTCCGCCAACTTCTGTAAGGGAAGTGATTGGCAGGTGTGAAGAGTGGCAGGAACGCTCCACTTCCCTTAGGGTTTGGGGGAGCTGCCGGTCATTGGTCGAGGAGACCTGGCTGGGGCGGGCTCGCCGGCGTCCGGATCCCGCTCCCGCGGCACAGATGACGCCTCCCAGGGCCCCCCTTCATTAGTAAGTGGCGGTTGGTCGGAGTTTTGGCCGTTGGGAGGTGTGAGGAGGCGGGGTGGCTGGGATTCTCCAGGAATCTCCCCGGGACTCGAAGGGGGGAGGGGGAGGGGGGGGGTCTGCTCCAGGCCCCGCCCCCGGGCATGGCTCCGCTCCAGGCCCCGCCCCGGGCACGGCTCCGCTCCAGGCCCCGCCCCCGGGCATGGCTCCGCCCCCTCGCCGGCCGGGGCCCCGCCTGTAGTCGACCGTCTGGGGCCTGCGAACGCGGCCCGTCGGCCTCCGGGGCTAACGGTCCTGGCGAACGCTTCCTCGCGCGGGTGAATCCTGGGTGCTTGTTGTGTCGCGGTCCCGGTGACCGAAGGGGGTCGGGGGTGCGGCTAACCTCTCGGTTCATTTCTTCCCCGCTCGTCAGGCGTCGGGCGGTGTGCAGAGCGCGGGCGCCGGGGACCATGCCCCTCCTGGCCCAGGGCCTCCCGGACGACGAGGAGCAGTACTGCTTGGTGGCCAGCCTCGACAACGTCCGGAACCTCTCCACCATCCTCAAGGCCATCCACTTCCGAGAGTACGCCACGTGTGTGGCCACGGACAACGGGATCCGCGTGACGGTGGAGAACGCCAAGTGCGTGCAGGCGAACGCCTTCATTCAGGTGCGGAGCGCGCGCCCCGCCGCCGGGCGGCCGCAGGGGTTCGGAGGGGCCGGGAGTGCCGGGCGGCCGCAGGGGTTCGGAGGGGCCGGGAGTGCCCGGCGGGCCGCAGGGGTTCGGAGGGGCCGGGAGTGCCCGGCGGGCCGCAGGGGTTCGGAGGGGCCGGGAGTGCCCGGCGGGCCGCACGGGTTCGGAGGGGCCGGGAGTCCCGGCGGGCCGCGAACTGTCTTCTTCTTTCCTGGTGTCAGAGTCTTTCCCCATCTGGTTCGGTGAGAGTCGGGTGAAAGCTACCCGTTAAAGCAGGCTCCTGTAAGCCTCGCTAGCTGAGATCCTGGGATCGCAGTTTGAAGCCAGCCCCGTCGGAAAAGTCCGCGGGAAATTCTTGTTTCCGGTGAACTACCCAAAAAGCCAGACGTGGAGCTGTGGCTCAAGTGACAGGGCGCTCCTATTACCTGTTATTTACTGTTTCCTCCTTCCGTGCGTGTGTGTGAGGGTCCTGGGGCTCGAACTCCAGGCCTACGCCCAGCCCTTGAGCCTTTTTTGCTCAAAGCTAACAACTTCTGCCACCTGAGCACAGCTCCACTTCTGGCTTTTTCCCAGTAGTTTATTGGAGATAAGCGTCTCAGGGACTCTTCCCCGGAGCCGGCTCTGAATCGTGATCCTTGGATCTCAGTCTCCCCAGTCACTAGCATTAAAAGCTGGAGCCACAGGTGCGCAGCATTGTTGTTTCTTTTATTAGCTGTAATAAAGTATGTTGGGTTCAGATTCAATTCCAGTTTTTGACCTCCTAACTGTAGATGATTACTGTATAGCTGAAACACTACATAAAATGTGGCTCTGCAAAATAAATTGAAAACTAGTATTCATGATCAAATCATTTTACTTTCAAGTGATTCTAACCTTAGGATGCAGAGCAAAAGGAAACAGTGTCTTAGGGGGAGATAGGTTTAGAGAGTGAGTGATTTTGCCTAAATCAGTTACACCTTTAACTATTAAACTGTTGAATGCTGTTGTTTAAGCTGTTCCAGTGAATAATGCCTGAAAAATCTTCACTGTTTTACTTGGAAAATAAAATATTCTCATGGAGATAGCACTGTAATTTTTGAGATTCCCCAACCTTAATGTTTTATTATTTTCATGTTTATTTTTATAGGCTGACATATTTCGAGAGTTTATGATAAAGGAAGAATCTGTTACTTTCCGAATTAATTTTACTGTGCTTTTAGATTGTTTATCTATTTTTGGATCAAGTTCTATGCCTGGTGAGCCATTTTATTATGATTACAAAGACATAAAAAGTTATGCAAAATAGTCCTTTCTTATAGTGAACTAAAGTATTAAAATTCACAGTGCTGGTGCTGGGAAGGTGGCTCAGTGGTAGAGTGCTTGTCTTGCAGGCATGAGGCCCTGGGTTTAATTCCTCAGCATCACATAAGCAGAAGAAGCCGGAAGTGGCCCTGTGGCTCAGGTTGCAGAGTGCTAGCCTTGAGCTGAAGAGCTCAGGGACAGCGCCACAGCTGGAGTTCAGGCCCCACGACTGATAAAGGAAAAAAAAAATTCACAGTGCCCTTTTATCCCTCTCTTGTTCTTAATGTGCTCTAACAAAGTATATAAAGACTGTTTCCTAGTAGAAGCTGAGAAGCTCCTTATCATAGTGAATACACTAGTACTGTAGTACATATATTCAAACCATCCTGTTGCCCATATTGACCCTTCAGTGAGTAACATAACCTATTCTGGAATAATTCTGTTAGGTGCCATGTACATATTTTCTATCCTGAAATTATATATAAGTGTATATGTCTGTATTTACATATCTATATTCACATACCTATACACACAGAGTCAGTATGCTATTTTTTGACGTATTCTGGCAAGCTTAAAATTATTTCAGAGGTTTATATGTTGTTCTGGGCCCAGTTTCCTGCAATAGTTTTTGGAATTATGCTTTTTAATAAGGAGATGTGTCCTGGAATTTTGGCAGAATAATCTTTAGGAATTTTATGTCACATTGAGGAGAAGCTGAACTTATTCATAAAGCCAATAATTAAGTCCAGGATGACTTTTTTCCACAGCAGGGACTTATACTGCACTTCGGATGTGTTATCAAGGTTATGGTCATCCTTTGATACTATTTCTGGAAGAAGGAGGAGTAGTGACAGTCTGCAAAATCAATACTCAGGAGCCTGAAGAGACTCTAGATTTTGATTTCAGCAGCACCAACGTTATTAACAAAGTTATTCTGCAGTCAGATGGGCTCCGTGAAGCATTTTCTGAATTGGACATGACAAGTGACGTTTTCCAGATTACCATGTCTCCTGACAAGCCATATTTCAGGTACTTGAGTGCAGTTCTAGGTAATGTGGTCTACTGTTAGGTCCCTCTTCCCACTTCATTTGCTTAGGTTGCAGACTTTTTGATTAGGTTCCTACAATTTCTAGAACTTCAGACACTTTTACCTCATACTTATGTGTGTGTGCTGATCCTGAGGCCTGAATGCTGCCCTTGAGCGTCTTGCTCATGGCTGGTACTCTACAACTTTGAGCCACAGTTTCTCTTCTGATATTTATTAGTAGTTTAATAGAGGTAAGAGTCTCACAGACTTTGCTGTCTGGCTGGTTTTGAACCATCATTCTCAGATGTCAGCCTCCTGAGTAGCTAGGATTACAGGCTTGAGCCACCAGTGCCCAGCTTTACCTCATACTACCTCATAGATTAAAAACATAAGACCTGGGAAGAGTAACTCACTAATTAGAATTTCATAAGTAGTTTAGGTTCTGTAGATAAGAAGCCCAGTCTCCTGATCCATGAGAGGAGAAGAGGGAAAAGATAGACCTGGGGAATATCAACCCCTAAAAACTGGCCTGTTCATCGTGTACTTCTTACTGTGGTTTATCAGGTTGCAACTTGAGGAATATTGGATTTAAACATCTGAAAAATGTTACATAGCATTTTTTTTCTCTTAATTCGGGGTATAAAAAGGAAGTAGATATTTCTCGTATATTGTGTACATGTCCATCCTATAGAGGCTCTGACAGGAACAGCTTGAAGTTAAAAGAGATAGGTGAAGTAGAATGGGAATAAACTCAAAATACCAAAATAATACTCACACTTGGGAAAATGGTACTGGACCACTCAGGTAGGACTGGTCCAGGTAAGCTTTCCAGAGGAAGGCAGTTTTCAGTAGGAAACAATAACGGAGCTACAAAGCTCCTCTTAGTAACTTTGTCCCAACAAAGTATAAAATGGCAAGGTTTTTTTTTTTTTTTCAAGATTAGAATCAGCAGGCACCAGTGACTCACGCCTATAATCCTAGCTACTCAGGAAGCTGAGATCTGAGGATTGCTGTTCAAAGCTGGCCTGGGAAGGAAGGTCTGTGAGAATCTTACCTTCAATAAACCACCAGGAAAAAAAATGAAAATGGCACTGTGGCTCAAGTGGTAGAGTGCCAGCCTTGAGCTGAAGAGCTCAGAAACAACACCCAAGACCAGAGTTCAAGCCACGTAACCAACAACAACAACAAAAAAAGGAATTTTAAAACAACCATTTATAGACAGGAAATCTAAATTTTTCTGGGTGAAATACTTGAAACTATTGCAAAAGTAAGGAACTGAGTACATAAAACATACAAGACATATAAGTTCTTTTTGTGTGTAGAAAAATTGCAGGCCCTTCTAATGACATTAAGCAGATAAAAATTGGGCTCAAAATGTATATATTACAATGTTAACCAAAATAGGAAGCAACAAAAAAAAAACCACTTAGGCAGTTAAAACAGTGCTTCAGCAAATTACCTTCTAAGTAAGCCTACAGCATGGGAACTAGGGGGATCTTTCTTCTCCAGGAGGGGAAAAAATGTTAGAGATAGAAGTTAAAAATTTTTTCTGGATGTGTTAAATTTGAGGTGTCTATAATACCAAGAAGTAGCTAGATGAGGCAGATCAGGCTAGACTGGAAGTTTAGGTTTAAGAACTGTCATCATGGCTGGCTGCATGAGTAAGGAGCAGGGATCCTTTTTCTGCCAAGGGCATTTAGTTATTTTAACATCATTTATGGGCACACAGTCCTGCCTGTGGT